AGATAACACACACTCACAGTGGTACCCAGACACAGGTCCACTTGGATCTCTCCTCATGCACTCCAAGACGGGCACTCCCCCACGCACACACACACATCCTTGGGAGTGCCCTCAAAGGCATGCACACATTTGGGTCCCCATGCCGGGGACAACAGGAGCAGACACACACAGGGGCGTGCACACACAGACCACACGAGGCACTCCTGGGCTCACGCGGGGGGCACACAGCCCGCTGGGCCCAGGTGAGATGCCTCGTGGGATGACTCATGCCTGGCGTTCCCGCTAGCCGGGCTGCAGCCGGGCAGGCTTCCAGCAGTGGGTCAGATGGACGCGCTCATCATTGCCGGGAAGAGGCCTTGGCAGCTTTCAGCCTCTTGAGCCTGTAGCACGGTGGGGCACTGACGTGTCCTTCAGGTGGGGACATGGGGGCTTGGGCCGCACCCCTCCTGCCCTGCTGTCTTCTCCCGAGCCAGCAGCACTCCCCGGGGGCCAGAGACCCTGCCCTGCTGTGTCCAGCTGGGAATCAGTCACTCATGGGCACAGGGAGAGAGCTGTCTGCGTTCCTGGGTGTGTTTGGCACCTGCTTGGGCCTGTTGGGGGTCTCAGCCTGCCTGTCCTCTGTGTGTTTGAGTCTGGCCTTGGGGGTCTTGGAACAAGCAGCCATCTGCAGCCAAAGTGAGCTCTCTGTCCCCCTGTCCCTCGGATAAGTCATGATCCTGGGACCCCGTCCAGCTGCAGTGGCCTCACCCCGTGTGACACATCCTGATGGTCCAGCATGCCGCACACAGGGCTGTGGGGGGAGGGGGAGGTTGGAGCCTTGGGTGGGGAGGCCAGGGGGCCCCCCACATTAGCAGAGGCCAGGAGGAGGGGATCTCATGTGGCCACTGAAGGAGAGCGGAGGCGGGCACCGCAGTCCCGGTGCAATTGGGTGCCCCTCTGAAGCTCCAATACTTTGGACACCTGATGTGAAGAACTGACTCATTGGAAAAGATCCTGATGCTGGGAAAGACTGCAGGCAGGAAGAGAAGGGGACGAGGAGGATGAGATGGTTGGATGGCATCACCGACTCGATGGGCACGAGTTTGAGCAAGCTCCGGGAGTTGGTGATGGACCGGGAAGCCTGGCGTGCTGCTGTCCATGGGGTCACAGAGTCGGACACGACTGAAGCGACTGACTGACTGAGAATCCTGGCTGGCCAGGGCCTGGAGGAAGCTGGAGCAGGGACCCTCCCTGGGACCTCTTCTGCCCTTGGCCTTGGTGAGGGCTGAGCGGGCTTACCTTGCCCTGCCGGGGCCCGGCTGTCTCTGCAGCCAAGGGGGTGGCTGAGCGCTGGCTCAGGGTCCCGGATTCAGGACGAGGGTAGGCAGGGGCCCCCAGCCCAAGGGGCTGCCCCCGCTCTGCTGCCTGCTCTGAGGCAGAGGACTGGCATCACCTGCTGTGCTCATCCCCATGTACCACCACGGTCCCTGCAGGCCCATTTCACTTCTGGAAGGGTGTGGCCCCTTGGGCAGTGGACCCCACAGGGGGCAGCTTGCAGCTGTATAGAGGGAGATGTCCCCCAAGTTGGCCCCAGGCAGTCAGGCTGAGCCCTGCCTCCTCCCACCTGCCCTCCACCCACCTGGGGAGGCCTTGGATGCCCCAACCTCACCCCTGGGCCACAGAGCTGGACAGGTGGGACCTATGAGGCCCACCCGAGCCCCACCCCTGCCCTCCCTACAGCCCGGCTGCAGCTTGGCCAGGTCCCTGCCGTGGAGCCCCAGCAACCAGGAGCTCCCGCCGTCAGGCTCCGCTCCAGTCCTGTCCTGCGGTGCCCCTCTGGGCACAGGCGCCCCACCGGGGAAGGCCACAGCAGCTGGGTATGCCTCAGGAATAACTGCCCCTCCTCCCAGAGCGTGGCGATACGGGCCGACCCGCAGCTGTGCCGGCGCTTGTGAGGCCCTGCACCACTTCTGAGGGTCGCCCTACAGGGCTGGCAGTGGCCGTTGTGTGGCACTCACAAGCTCACCTCCTCCCAAGGACCACTGTGCCAGGGAACTGGGGCCACACCCCCAGCCCTGGGCCGCTGGTCTCAGACTGGATCCTGAGGTACTGGGGCTGGCGAGGCAGGACGCTGGTGGGGCTGAGGGTGAGGAGCCAGGGCTGCCGGCCAGAGCCCCCTGGGCCCCAGGTCCTCAGCAGAGCCCGCAGCCTGCCCCACCGCCTGGCCGGCTGCTCTCCGTGCCTCTCCAGGCAGGCAGGGATGTCCAGAGCATCAATGATTGATGTCTCCTTGCGGCCGCCGCAGCAGCATAATCAAAAATAGCTCTGCCGGTGTCCCTGCCCCAGCCCAGCTGGAGGGCCATAACTGCATGGTATGGGCCCTGGGACTTCCTCCACCGCCGTCTGCCCTCCCACCCAGTCCTCGCACAGAGGAGGTCAGGGGGGGCTCCGGGTCTCTAACTGCAGGCTGAGTGCCTGCTCCAGCCCTGGGAAGGGGTGTTCTCCTCAACTGACCCCAAGGACTCAGGGTGCTTCCTGGAGCAAGAGACCTGATGCCCACGGCATCAGGTGATGCTCAGAGATGCTAGGATCCTGTGGGGCTCGAGGCGGAGTAGAGTCTGGCCCCTTCTTCCTGAGGCTGGGTTGGGGGAGACTTGGCTGGGCAATGGCAGAAGAGAAGCTCCCCCGACCCCAGTCTGCACCATTCAACAGGGCTGGGGCTCAGGGACGGAGCGAGGAGCCCGTGTGGGCTTTCTCCTGCACACGGCACCCAGCCTCCACAGCACCGTGGAGCGTCCTGGCTTCTGTCCCCCATTACTCCCACTTTCATGGGGACCTGGCCCCTCTGACCAGTGTCCTCCAGCGTACAAAGCCATTTAAAACTTCAACAGCTGCCTGCCCTACCCTGCCCGCCCATCTGGAGGGCTGGCCCTCAGCTCCTGCCCCAGGTCGTGCCCAGAGCCCCAGATGCTGGCCTGAGGAGTCGGGGGCCACCTGTCAGCTACTTGGGCTTCCCCCACCCACTCCTGCATCCAGGGCAGGGCACCAGTGTCAAGGTCATGCCTACTGCCTGTCTGAGCCTGGGCTCCCCCAACACAGCACCTCCTGAGCAGGGCAGTCGGGGGTCAGCCAGGTATGAGCTTCCTGTGGCTGCTGTAACAAATAAACATGCACATGCCTAGTGGCTTACACCAACTCTCATTTATGCCCTACGGTTCCAAGTGTCGGCAGACTCGCGTTCCATCTAGAGGTCTGTTCTGGGGCAGATCCATGTCCTGGCCTTTCTCAGCTCCAAAGGCCATCTGCATTCCTTGGTTCATAGGCCTGCATCACTCTGACCTTTGCTTCCATCTTTCCACCTTCTCTTTCAGACTCTGACCGTCCTCCCTCCCTCTGGTAAGGACCCTTGTCCATTACGACGATGTAACTGAGGACCATCTCGCCATCACGAGAGGCGCAACATAATCATGTCTGTAAAATTCCTTCTGGGGCTTCCCTGGTGACTAAACAGTCAAGAACCTGCCTGCCAATGCAGGAGACTCAGGTTCGATCCCTGGGTCGGGAAGATCCCCTGGAGAAGGAAATGGCAACCCACTCCAGTATTCTTGCCTGGGAAATCCCGTGGACAGAGGAGCCTGGCGGGCAACAGTCCACAGGGTCGCGAAGAGTCAGACACGACTTAGCAACTAAAGAACAAAGGTTCCTTGTGCTTTGTAAGGGGTCATACTCACAGGTTCTGGGGATCAGGAAGGGCTCCTCCTGGAGGCATTCATTATTCACCTACCACACCACATAATGCAGGACAACCCACCCTTGGCCCTGTGTCATGCCTGGGTCACAGGGCCATCCTCACTCTTCACATGGGGAATTGCTGAGGGTCAGAAGAGTTGGTTCCGCCCCAACAAAACTTCCTACTCGGGCTTTTGTGCCTGGGCATCAGCTTCCTCAGCTGACAGGAGGCCAACACTCCTCCTACCCCTTTCCAGCTCCTGGACTGTGCAGACGGCATGGACAGTGGATGAGGGTGTCCTAACAGTGGGTGGACAACAGGGAACAGCTTGCCCTGGGTGCTGTCGGGACAGGAGAGGGCTGGTGTCTGGTCACCTTCCTGCAGCTCACCCCGGTGTCTGCCCAGCACTGGGCAGTCTGCCTGCATCGTTCCAACACTGCATCTCTGGCCACTGTGCCCCTCAGGAAGCAGGGGAGGGGCAGATAGTCAAGGTCCAGGGTTCAGAGAATGATCTCATCTAGTCATTTTTAAAATTGAAATTTTCTGTAGCTTGGCTGAGAAGGACCAGGGAGAGAACCAGTGATTCATGCAAACTGGACAGGGCCCAGGGAGATCCCTAGGTCACAGGGTGGAGAAATCTGAGCATGGAAGTAGACCAGGAGACAGGGCGTGGATCAGGGCTTCCGCGGGGGCATAATGGTCGAGTCTGCGGAGGGCTGACTTCATGAGACTGGGTAAGATGGAGAAAGGCCCAGAATGCCTGGGGGTGAGCTGCCAGGAGGGTGAGGCTGGCTGTTAATGCCCACCTTGCCCTTGGGCCAGCGGCCGCAGGAGGGTCTGTTGGCCCATGGCCCAGGCTGGCCCTGCTCTGCCTTGGGGCCGGCTGGTGACCACGCCGGGACCCTGAGGTTCCGGATTGGGCATCACACAGCTAGACACCCCCGCTGCGGCGGGGTCGCGGAGCGAGGGGCAGCCGGCTTGGGAGGACTGCCGGTGCGGGAAGCGGGCGCCTGCTCCTCCCGGCCGCGCGGGGCGGCTGCAAGGGGGCGGCTGAGCGAGGGACGCATCTAACTGAAGGAGAGCCCCTTCACGCGGCGGCCGACTGGCGCACGGTGACGGGCCCCACGCAGGACGGGCCCGCTCCACCACCCAAGAGGCTCGTCCGGCTCAGGGGGCGGAGTCTGGCTCCACCGGTGCAGGGGCGGGGCCTGGCGTTGTCACGCCCGCGCGGCGCCGGCGCGCTGACGTCAGGGCGGCAGACGCCGGAAGCGGGACTGGCACGCGTCGTTGCCGGGCAACGGTCCGGCGCCGGCCTAGGGACGCCCGACATCCCTGCTGCGCCGGCGGGTGGAGGCGGCGAGGCAACTCAGGTGGGTGCGGGCCCGGGCTCCAGCGCCCTGAGTCCGCCCTTCAGGAGCCCTAGGCCAGACCCGATCGGGGTCCTCAGCGGCCGCCTCCGATCTCCGCTCCCCTCCCGGAGAGGGAACTACCCGAACCCCCGGCCCAACTCTCGGGGCCCTCTGGGCACTGCCTTCCCGCGGGCGCCCCGACTCTCCCCTCCTCTGCCAGATTGGGCCTCGCAGACCCTTGCCCACGGCGACCGAGGCAGGACCCCGCAACTCGCCCACCCTGCCAGGCTGTGCTGACCCCCAGGACCTGCCTGGTCTTTAGGTCACGCCCCTGTGCTGGACCGGTCACCCAGGCGCGCGGAGGAGGAAACCGGGCAGCGGCTCCGGTTACTTTTCCTGGGTGACCAGGCAGTCTGTGTCCCTTCCACAGCGACAGTGGACTCACACCAGGCCATCTGTACTCCTGAGGAAGCCGTGGGCAGCCGCTGGGCCGTGGGCGAGCAGGTGACCCCCTCCGGCGCTGTCTACTTGGGGCTGCTCCCGCACAGCAGTATGGATGTCTCCTGAGCGTCTTCCCATCGCGTCTGTGCGGGCCTGGGGCGCCAACATGCAAGACCAGCGGGAGCTGAGGGGCACACCTGGCCAGAGGCTCCCTGTCTGCGCCCTTCTGAGTGACCTCCCAGAGCAAGCAGGCGGGGGTTCCCTCCGCCCGGTTTCTAAAGACCTCGGTGCACCTGGGAGGCAGAGCGGTGACGCTGTGGAGTGGGCGAGGCCCCACTCCACCCTTCCCCCGCTGGATGGGGAAGCCAGGATCTCTGGGGATAGCTTTGAGGGCTTGTCTACCAGCACCGCCAGGGGTCCAGACCCAGGGGAGCACAGCGGCACCTGGGGGGAGTTTGAAGGCTTTCGAGAATCCTCAGCTAGCTCTGAACAATTCTCTCAGTCCTTTGAGCTCCGGGAGAGGCCCTCAGCCTCTCAGCCGTGGAGAACAGCTTCTGCCCAAAAGGAGCACGGTTCTAGCCAGCCTCACCAGGGTGGAGTGACAGGAACCGGCGCCATCGCCTCTTCTGAGGTATTTCTAAAGTCTTGGCCATGTTGCATAGGAAGTGTTTCCTACCCTGTGGTGGGGGACTGGTCAGGGAGGGGGTCCACTTGTCTCTGGGCCTTCATCCTGGACCCCTTCTGCTTTCCGTTCCCTCCACCTGCCCACTCTCCACCAACTGGGCTGGCTGTGTTTTCCTGGGCCCAGTCCTGGGCATGTGGGGGAAGAGCATTTTGTTTGAGTCTGTAATCTCCTTACTTAGAAAACCTTGCCGGATCACATGTCAGTGTGTGTTAGTGACGGGTTGCTGGAGGCGGCCTGGAGAGCCCAGCATGCGCCCCTCGTCCCTCCGGTCCTGCCCTGACCACCAGCGTCTCCCTTCACTGTGACTGCCCCTCACCCACCTCTCTCTCTGCCGTCTCTTCCCTCGTGGTTTACCCCTAACACCAAAAGCGAAACAGAGAAGGGAGGAGAGGAAAAGGTCCACTGGTTCTAGGGTGGACCATTTGCTTTCTAAACCCGGCAGTGTTTCCTTGGCCCTCTGACAAGATCCACTCCCCGTTCAGTTAGCTCTGCTCTAACGCTTGTTTTGAAGACAGGACTGTCTTACAGTGCAGTTACTGTATCGGGGAACAATTTGAGCGTAATGTGAACTTTGCCGGAAACACGGGGTGAATGCAGAAAACCACACCTGCTGAGCTGAGACCCACGTGAATATACACCACACACATGCCCACCTCTCCCAGCCACCTCGGTCTGCCACATGCATCCCCCGCCCCTGGGGGCTCTCCCACCTAACCCCCGACCTCAGACAACTCACCTTTCAGTACTTCACACTTCTCACAACCCACAAACCTCTCTTCCAGGAAGTGCCATTTTTACTGCAGTAGGGACAGATTTCTCAACCAATTCACACGTGCAAAACAGCACTCGCATTTTCACTGGCTGCCTGTCTTTTTTCCGTGTGTCACTGATGAAGTTTATGACTGTTGTGCCATGATCACACTTTCCCACACACCCGTTTCCATAGCACGACTCACAGTGCAGTGATTTTTAGGAACAAATATGTCATGATTCAGTAGCAGCAACGATATATAATCATTTACAAATTTCATTTGTACCAAAATTATATATTTGGAATAAGGTGACATGATGTGTGTATGTTTCCTAGCTTTGGTGTGTTTTTCTTCTTTTTCAGCCCATTGTCAGCTGTGAGGATGTTTTCAGGTCTGCTTTTCAAGAAGTACCAGTCCCACAGGCCACCGAGGGCATCTCCACCTTAGACCACTTCTTAGAAACAAGGAATGAAGAAAAATCTGGCCTTGAATCCGTGCATAAACTGTGGTAATGAACTGAAATCAGTACTCACATGTCCATCCGGCAGGCTGAGCTGGTGGTCTTGGGGTCATAAGGTCTTCTGCTTCGACCTCTGTGGAGAACACTGACCCTCCCGAGGTCCCACCACCTGAGGTCAAAGGGTCGAAGGGTGGCTGGCACGGGTGCCGCCCGTCCTCTGAACAGCCCTGTCCAGCCCCGCCTCAGGCCCTCTCCAGCAGGTCCAGAGCAGAGTGGGCCGGGGAGGGCCAGCTCCTTGGGTCTGGGTGGGAGCGTGGCAGGTTCCGGAGGGCCCAGGGGGCTGGCATGGCGGGCTCAGGCTCCTGGGGGATGGGAGCGAGTGACCCCCCAGTTCCTGGAGAGGTTCTCAGTCCACCTCAGGGCTGCTACTCCCAGGGCCAAGTCCCTGGGATCACAGGTCACAGAGGTGCTTGTCTACCTTTGGCCATTTCATCAGACTGCCTTAGCAGCAAACCATACTAGCTCAAGTGAATGGTGAGGTGGGCCCAGGCCCCAGAGGGGTGGTAGAGGTGGCTGGGAGCCGGCTCCTCTGGGACCTAAAGCCGCCTCACAGGCTGACACTGCAGACAGCGCTGCAGGCGGGGCCTCCTGGGCCCTGGCAGGGGTCTGAGCCAGCCTGCCCAGCACGCTCTCCCGGGAACCAGGGCTCACTGCCTCCCCAGGCTGTGGTCCGGGCCTGCGGGCGGGGGGCGTGAGCCCGGGGCACCTGTATGCACAGGTGGGCCTGGGGGTCGGGACCTGGCCCGGCTCGGCGCTTTCACCCTGGAGATGTTTGGGGACCAGCTGTGCCCTCCCTCCCGGAGGCCTTCGCTCCCAGAGGCCGGGCCCGTCCACCGGACAGGGCCCCAGCACCCACTCTGGCATCTGCTTCTCCGTCTGTGGGCATCTCTCTGGCACCTGGCCTGGTTCCAGGCACCTGAGATCGTCCGGGAGCAAGACAGCAGAGTATATCTAGCCCCCTGGAGCTTCTGCCCTAGGAGGAGACACACGGTGGTGGAATCAGTCGTTCAGGCCAGGGATGAGCTCTGTGGAGACAGAGCCAGGAGGAGGGAGCGGTGTTGGTTGAGTAGATGCTTGAGCAAGTGAACGAAGAAACAGAAGCTGGGCTCTGCGTCCAGAATGCTGGCGGGTCAGACGACCTCTGTGCCTCCCTTCTGAAGGCCTTCCAGCTCGCCCTGTACTTAAGGCAGCTCTTTTCCAGTTCTGAATCTAGAAAACTCTGGAGGGCTCTTCACAACACTGGGACCACGACAATCTCCCGATGCGCCTGGAACGAGTCCCGCAGTCGGGAAAACTTCCTTCCTGTTCTTGGAGTAGACGCTGCTCAGAAGGTGGGCTGACCTGGGTAGAGAGGGGTTCCCGGAGGCCAGCCAGACCACATGACGACTTTGCCAGCCGCGCTGCGCAGCGCACCGCAGGGCCCGCATCGGGCTGGGGAGGGGGCGGGCGCACCAGCAGCCCGCTGCTGCTTCCTTGGGCTGCCTGTCCGGTGTAGCTCCTCGAGAGGGACACTGCGGGGCCAGGGTGCGCAGAGGGCGGCCCCCAGTGGAGCCCAGATCGGAGCCACGTTGCCATTTTACAGGGAGATGTGCCGGAGGCCCAGGTGGAAAGGGAAGCTGGGAGGAGAAGACCCTCTAACGTTGCGTCCCTCTGGCTGACTCTGATTTGCTTTCTCAGAGCCTCTCAGCGAGCCCTGGCCGCACTCTGGGCGAGCCTGGCCTCCACGAGCCGGAAGAGCTCGGCTTCCGCCTGCAGCGCTGCAGAGCCCTGATCCAGACCAAGGTGAGCCCGGGCCGCTCTGCCGCTCCCCCTGCGGCTCTGAGCCAGCAGTGCCGCCGGGCCGGGCGGCAGCGCCTCTCCACTGCGCAGAGGGGCCCAGGCAGGAAGAAGGGGCTCCATCCCACAGCCCCTCGCCCGGAAAAGCCTCTCCAGGAACGGGGTCTCCACCCACCCTTGCAGCAGGCATTGGGAGGGGGACGCCCTGGCCAGCCCATCGCCTCTAGAGCCCTGAGCTCCACCCGGAGGGACCTGTCCACCTGCATCCCCCACCCTGCGCTGCTCTGGAGGTGGGCATCCCGCCCCCAGGGCCAAGGCCTGACGCACAGGGGCTGAGAGGGGGTCATGTGGGGAGGGGCCTGAGTGGAGCTGGGGAGGAGGGCAGGGCAGTGCAGCCCGTGGGCCGGACCTCTGCTCTGCAGAAACATCACAGGGCAGGAGGCAGAACCTTCCAGAGGCATGTGGCTGGGCTGTCTTAGAGCAGCAAGACCTAGGTGTCCCCAGCAGCCCGTCTCCTGCGGGAGCCCCAGCAGGGACTGGAGCACAGTGGTGGCCCGATAGGAACGTCCAGGGGCCGCGGCTGGGCGGGAGGAGGACCAGGAGGCCAGCCCGGTCAGGCCAGAGCTGCCCTCAGGCGCCGTCCCGGCCCGTCCCCTCGGGGAGAAGCTGTGGCTCTGTCCAGAGCTCCTTCGTGTTGACACCGCGAGGGAAGGCCCAAGGCAAGCTGGCCAGGTGCCAGCGGCCGGGGCGTCCCTGAGGGCACGTGTGCTTGCCCTGACCGGTCCCTCCTCTCTTGGCAGCTCTCGGGGACGCCGGGTGGTGGACAGGGCAGCCTGATCACCTACAGCCTCTTCCTGAAGACCCCTGTACACGGAAATGGGCAGTACATCACGATTCCAAGGAAAAAGAAGATTTTCAGTCCTCGTAACCTAAAACTGACATTGTTTAATAGTGACATTTGCTAAAGTGGGAGAACTTTTGTGTGTTGATGCGGGATTTCACCGCTGTCTTCCCAGTCTCATTTGATACTGGAAACCAGAACAGTTTCGTGGAGGTGGTCCATGTCAGGGCGGACACTCTGAGGGGGTGCGTTCCTCAGCAGGGCCAGCCGCCAGGAAGGGTGCGCCCGGGTCCCCAGGAGCCCCGCCCCAGCCTGGTGGGGGAGAAGGAAGGTGGCTCTGGAGGCACCTGTGAGGCCCCAGGCCCTGCGCCTGAGCCACACTGCCCGGGACCCCAGGCTGGCCTGGCACGCGGCTGGGGCTGTCACTGGGAGCAGCCGTCAGGGCCCTGAAGGCCCTGCGTGTGTTGCTGCTGCAGTGGCCCCCGGCCCGGGTATTCACGCGGCTGGGCGTGCGGCGGGGGTGGGGGTGCCGTTTCCCCAGAGCAGGCGTGCTCCCTGCAGCAGCCACACCTGCCTGCCAGCGGGCGAGCAGCCTGTCATCAGCTAGGGAAGAGACCCCTCCAACGAAAGAGCCCAGCAGGCGGCACTGACTTTTGTAAAATTGTATTAAATGAAACAGCCTGGACAAGCTGTGTTCTTGCTAAATCGCCGGCTCTGTGGGGACCCGCGCTGGACCGAGCGGCAGCCCCGCCCACCCTCGGGGAGGCCCGGGGAGGGACGGCCAGCGGGGCCCGCAGGCACAGTGACCCCAGCGTCCGTGTGCCCCCAAGGCCGCTCTCGAGGCAGGGAGACCACAGCCGGGGCGGCTTCAGACGCCAGCTCCATGGACGCGGGTGTCAGACCCCAGCAGAGGCCCAGTGGGGGCACAGTGACCAACAGGTGTCACTTGTCACACGTCATACGGCAGAAGGGTGGGGTTGTCACCCACACCTCAGTGCCCTCAGCCACGCTGCAGACCCCTGCCTGTAGACCTGAGGCTTATCTAGGGGTGACTGATTCTGGGGGCCTGGGTGTTTGAGAGACCTGCATCTCCTTTCCAGCCGGTAGGTGGGAGTCTGGAAACAGCTTTCTGCCATGCTGCTTCCATCACAGGGAGGGGACTGTCCACCTGGGGTCTCCCAGGACCCCGCCAGCAGAGATGGCCTGGGCTGTGCCATCACGTCCCGACCTTCGGTTAAAGACTTGAGAACCCGACATATGCCGTCCTGCCCCCCACCCCTCCACCCCCAATCTCGGTGCCCGTGGCCTGCAGCAGCGTGAAGCGGGGCCTGGGCTCCCTGAGACAGAGGCGGGGTCACGCTGCTGAGAGCACCAGATCCTGGTCACTAGACGGTGTGGTCAGTAACAAGGGCCCGGCCCCGGCCTTACAGGAGAGTTCCCACAGAGGTGGGAGCCGTGAAGCAAGTGAAGCATCTACTAAGAGGGAAAAGACAGTGCCGGACGTGGATAGGCAGGCGCGGGGCAGACTCAGAGGGACAGCCCCTGGGTCGCCCCTGTGCCATTTCTTCATTCGGCCAGTCATCTCGGCGTGCCTGGCTCCCAGCCCACTTCTTCTGCATCTCAGGATCCTCCCGTGTGCACGCACGCATCTCAGCCAAGGTGGATTTTACCGAAAGGGCGTCTAGGTAGAACATCCTTGACGGGACTCCCCTTTGGCCTCCAAGGAGCCTTTTCTGCACGTGGTCGGGGAGGTCTCCAGGACAGGAGAAGCAGCGTGTGGTCTGGGCGGGGCCCCGCCTCCTCCCTTAGTTGCCCTGCTATTCTTGTCTGGTCTTGGCGTTCCCACCCACAGGGAATGTCTCCGATCACTTTACCCTAGGGGTCCATCTGCCTCCTGCCTCACACCCAGATTCAAACTCAGAGGCTGCTGTGTTCCTGTTCTCAGGGCGGCCCTCCCTGCCCCGCTGGCCCAGGGTCCAGCTGGACCTCAGGCAGCTTCTCACTGGCGTCCGGAGTCTGATCTCTGTTCCCCCGCCCCCCTCCACGCTCTGTTCCTTCACCAGAGCTTGGCCCCTGCCTCCACTCCCCGTCTAGTCAGACATCCAGTTTGGCCCTGATTCTGCACCCTCACATCCACCCACGTGAGGAGGGGGCTTCCTGAGCTGGGAGAGACCGGCTGGCTCATGGGGAAGTGCCACCCAGTGACCCGATTGGGAGGCACAGGGTGTGGGCGGCCAGCGCTCTCACGCAGACCAGAGCAAGCCCAACCAGCTACCAAACCAGGGCTTAAATAAAGCTGCTATAAAACCTTTAAAGATGAAAGGGAACGTGTTAGTCGCTCAGTTGTGTCTGACTCTTTGTGACCCCACGGACTGTATGTAGCCCCCCAAGCTCTTCTGTCCATGGAATTTTTCAGGCAAGAGTGCTGGAGCAGGTTGCCACTCCTTTCCCCAAATTTGAAAATAAATAGAAATAAAAGGGCTGAGGTTATAAAGAATACCTAGGCAGTGGAAGAGGCCCACAGCAGCTCTCGTCACCCCAGTGGCGAGTGAAGGGACTTCCAGCTCCCTTCTGTAAAATTGAGAAGCCCGCTCTGACCAGCACTCTGGGGTTCCTGCCAAGTCTCCATCAGCCTCACGGAGCTGGGTTCGGACACACAGCCCTGCAGAGACCTCGGCCATCGTGTGAGGAGGAGCCTGGCTTCCCTGATGCCTCCATGCTGCAAAAAGTATGAAGAGTGACCACAGAGAGAGAGGCCAAGAGGTGCCCGAGGACCCAGCGCTGGAGTCTGCCAGCCTGGGAGCCAGCCATGTGTGAGGGGAAGCAATAGCCAGGATGACACGCGATAATGTTTGTTACAAAACCAGATGACAGTGAAAACACAGCGTCAAAACCTGAGGGAGGCAAGGAAATCGGTGCTTGCCTTGAAATTCACAAACGCAAGGAAAGGAACTGAGATTAATCACTGCCTGACACACCTCAACACTACGCTGCGTTCCCTGTGAACTTTTGAGTCACCTTCTCATGTGATGATACTCTCCTATCACTTACTGTCCTTGAAGATAACCCAGTGTATGCTTACTATGGACGGTTCAGAAGTTTCTTTCAACGTTAAAGACTAGCCATTGGTGTGAACCGCCCTCAGGGCTGGGCCCCTCGGGAATCTCTCCTCTCCGCAGCTGCAAACACACACTGAGCATCTCTCCCCGAAAACCCAGCTTCCTTATCTGGAGCCCAGAACCAGCCTGGCCTGGGGGGAGACGGTCATGAGGTGGTGGGGTGAAGGCAAAAGCCTTAGGATTGCAGCCAACACACCTTTTTTGCAGAGTTTACGAACAGGTGACTATGTGCACACAGGAACTTAAAGCTTCACCCTCCTCATCACTAGTCCTGCACCTCCATTCAAATCCATCGCCAGCAACTAACCACTGTTCCTCCCTGGGGACCGGACACTTCCAGGGGCATCGGTGTCCAGGCGGACCCCATCTCAGCCTACCCAGGACTAGGCCATCAGCACCCCGAGCAGGCTCCCGAAATGCGAGTGGGCTGCTGGCAGGAGCAGAAAGGAGACTGGGGGCTCAGCCGCATCCACAGAGAGGGACCCTAGAGCCACAGCCCAAGTCACCGCGGAGGCTGCCAGACAAACGCTGCAGCCGCCCTGACACGGAGCGCGTGTTCCGAAGACAGAACCGCCACCGGACACAAAGTACCAAGTCAGATGTGCTGCTTACAAACATCCACGTCAGCTACTTTCCACAAGGGAGTACTTTCAAAATCTGAGGGAGCAGCCCTCGGACGTCGAGAGCCACAGCCCGCGTCTCCCCCGCAGCTTCCCGACCTCAACCCCCAGTGCTGTCCCACCTGCCACCTGCCGCAGAAGCCGGGGCGGGACTGCCGCTGCCCACCCGCCACCACACCCACGTGACGCCACGCCCGCCCCACAGGCCCCGCTGGATTAGCAGGCTGAGCTGAGCGAGGCAGGAGGTCCGTCCGACAGGTAACTGACAACTCACTCCACTCCGTTAGATAACTTTTTAATAAAATGAGGTGTAATCGCTGATACTAAGCAAACACGCCTTCTTGGGTAAGGGCTGGAGGAGGAAGAAAAAGCACAAGAAGTGGGAAACGTGGGGTGGAGTGGGGAGTAGACTCACATGTAAACCAGTGATAAAGATCTAAACGCTGTGGGCGGTCTGGGTGCCTGGGCACAGGACACACAGCCCAGCCCACCGTCAACGACCCTCAAGACAGAGGAGCCACAGTAATGACGTGTCCAGACTCCTTCAGTCCTAGACTTAAGTTCAAGCTTAAGATTCTGTCCCAGCACCGGTTTAAAGGAGCATATGCGAACACCCTCCAACGCAGTGGTGCACAGACGCCCTCCCCAAACACGGCAGCTCACAGCAGCCCCTGCGTGCATGGGCCCAGTGCTTGGGGGTCCAGCAGCCGGCCAGGCAGGGGTGTTGGAGGGCAGCAGCTGTAGGAGAAAGCTTGGCTGTGCTGGGAAACCTGTGCAAGAGGGGTCCCTAGACACAGACCCTCGGAGGCACCACCCGAGACCTCAGGTACAAGTGGTCTCCAGGCAGAGCGCACCTGACTTCCAGCCCCGAAGACACTTACACATAAACAGACATAAATAAAACCCTTCAGAACCCACACCGCAGTCCAGCAGACATGTGGTTATGCAGCAGATCTGGTAAAAGCATCACATGCAAGGCCTCTGACCCTGACCTCGCTCGGACCGCAGCAGGGCTTACGGGCAAGGCTCACACCCAAGTCCAGAGTGGAAATCACGACGCGTGGACACTGCAGACTCAAGGCAGTGATACTCGTTGTAAAAAGAACAGTGTTCTTTAAACCTTAAAAAAATGAAATACACCGACTGCAACTGTTTAGGCTGTTAAGTTTCTAATGTAGCAGCAGACCATGTTTATAGAAAAAATATACTTTTAAGAAAATAGCTAAAAAAATCTAGTGATCAAAGTATAAAAAGTTAAAAAATGTATCTTAAGACAAAATATTGCCTCAAACATATAAAACTTAATTTTAGAAAATTCACCCATCTGAAGTTGGATGAGGCCGGATGCGGCTGGCATCCTCTGGTGGGGCTGTCTCAGGGCACCGGTCAGGGCCCAGGGCGGCACCACCGCCCGCGGGAAAGCCGCCGGCCCTGGGAAGGGCAGGGCCGCCGGACGCTGCTCCGGGGGCTCTCCCAATCACAGAGGTGGGCCCCCGGCACCCACAACCTCGCATGCCGGCTGTTTCCGTGAGTCTCACAGATGCACCGCGCTGTCGCCGCTCAGGTCTCCACCAGGATCTCCACCACGTGGTCCAGCTCGCCCAGGTCCGCCTTGCAGCCAGTGCCAGGGGGTGGGGCAGCCGCAGAGGCGAAGGACTCCAGCCCCTCTGGGCCCGACTTGGCGCCGCCCACCATGCCCGTCAGCACGGCATCCAGGTCGTAGTAGGAGGCGTCCACGTCAGAAAATAGCTCCTCCACGGCGCCAGGGCCGTGGTTCTCCAGCGTCTCAAACACCTGATCAAGAGACCTGGGGAAGCCCCCTCGGCTCTCTCCGGGGCCGGCCCTGTCCCAGGGGCCTCCTGGCACAACTCCGGGAGCCTGTGCTGCCGGGACCGTCTGCAGCGCAGAGGCCAGGTCTGCGGGGTCGGGGGCCGGGGGCGGCCCCGCCCGAGCCGAGCGGCACAGAATCTCCGTGGACACCAGGCGGTCACGCGGTGCCCGCCCCGGGGTCTGGGGCCTGGGCAGGCACCAGCTCCCGTCCTGGGTCATCTCCTCCTGGATCTGCCGGACCGTGTTGGCGATGAGGACGGAGCGGCACAGGTTGGGCTCCGCCAGCATGTGGCACAGCTGCAGCTTGACCAGTGACATGTCCAGGAGCGACTGGCGCTGCAGGGGGTCAGCGGGCGCCTCCTCCTCCGAGCACTTCCTCTTCAGCCCGCGGGCGAACATCTTGCCCTGCGGAGACAAGAGACGCTGCTGAGCCCGTTGCAGGGGTCCCGCTGATTCTTCCGCACCTTGGCTCCGACCTCAGGGGTAACGCGTATCAGCGGGGTGGGGGGTAGGGCGTGGACGGCTGCGCTGCACCCGCCCCTCCTTCCGTCCTCAGCGTCTGGAAGGCCCAGGGCTGGGGCGGGGACCACCAGAGGCTGGAGCAGTCTATGGCTCTGAGTGGACACCACACTGCACCACTGGATGAAAATGCTGGTTCTTGGGCCTCACCTGGACCGAGGCTGACCGGACACAGCCAACCTGCTGCACCTCTGCTCTCAGAGGCAGAAAAACAAGGAAGCTGCCCTTCTGAAAAGGCTCTAAGTTAGGAGACCCCAGGGGACGTTAAAGCTGGAGCAGAAAGCAGCCAGGGCCCGTGTTTCCCCACAAGCCCCCTGTAGGGTCCCTCCTTCCAGGAACAAAGTGAAGCTGTAATGTACAAACCCTCTCTCAAGTTCATAAAGTAACTCAGCATTTTTATTTCAAGAAATCCACCTGAGTTACCCATCCAGAGCTAACGCGGCCCTTGCCATCAGCCCCACCTTAAGAACAAAGACCCCTGTCCTCCAAGTCTCCTGTGGACATCGCAGCTCCCACCTCCTGTGCATTTAACAGGTAAAGACCTTTTTAAAAGCATGTGACTTCTTGGGTACTTATCCCAGAGAAATGAAAGCCAATGTTCATGTGAAAACATGCACAAGAAATGTTCACAGCAACTCCACTCACGACAACCCCAAGCTGGGGAGCAAGCCCTTCAGGGAGCGGGCGCTACCGCTCAGATGCCACCACGCAGAGGAGGACTGCCCCGCGGTGCGGACTCGGACGGGCCTCGAGGGGGTCACGTGGCACAAGAAAGCTCATCCCAGGTGGCCCAGGGCCGGCCCCCTCCGTAAGGATCCTACCACTCAGAGGGGGCTCCCTGGGGCCAGGACAGCTCACATGGGGACCTCGGAGGTGCTGCATGAGCCCCGACTGCTCAGAACCACACGCGGGCACACGACACTCAGACACACGCACGCACGACCCCACCAGCGCCGAGGCTGCTCGAAGGCCAGTTTCCTGCAGGGGCTGCTGGGCCAGGCACCGCACGCGGATGCAGACACCGGGAGGCAGGGAGGCAAGGATGCCCCTCCACAACACTTCTCTACAACTTCCTGTGGACCTGCAACTACTCCAAAACAGAAAGGGCAAAAACTAAGCACCCAGGACCTCCCTGGTGGCCCAGCGGCTGAGACCCTGAGCTCTGCGTGCAGGGGGCTCAAGTCTGATCCCCAGTCAGGGAACTAGACCCCGCATGCCTTGACTAGAAGATCTCACATGCCACAAGGAAGATCAAAGATCCCGACTACTGCAACAAAGACCCAGCACAGCAAAAAAAAAAACCCTACAAAAACGAAGTGACCACAGCACATCCCTCACAAGATGTTTCCCCAGAACAGCAAACAGGTCTAACTCATCAGGATGATCCGGAAGCCAAGCCCATCACGGCAGCCTGCACATGCCCACTCATCAACAGCTTCAGCTCACCACCAGAACTCAGGAAAAGTATCTCAGTGACTTCCAGTAATAAAGGATTCAAGTGTTTTGTCTTAGCTACAAATTCAACTTTTACAGTCTTTCTTCCCCAGTTACTTGTGTAAAAGTCACGGGCTTAAGATTTCTAAGCATACTGAAAGTTAATATAAATTATGTCACACGATATCCGGTCCATCAGTTCACGGCAAACAGATGGGGAAACAGTGGCTGAATTTTTGGGGGCTCCAAAATCACTGCAGATGGTGATTGCAGCCATGAAATTAAAAGACGCTTACTCCTTGGAAGGAAAAGTTATAACTAACCTAGACAGCATATTAAAAAGCAGAGACATTACTTTGTCAACAAAGGTCCGTCTAGTCAGCTATGGTTTTTCCAGTGGTCATGTATGGATGTGAGAGTTGGACTATAAAGAAAGCTGAGCGCCGAAGAATTGATGCTTTTGAACTGTGGTGTCCGAGAAGACTCTTGAGAGTCCCTTAGACTGCAAGGAGATCCAACCAGTCCATCCTAAAGCACATCAGTCCTGGGTGTTCATCGGAAGGACTGATGTTGAAGCTGAAACTCCAATACTTTGGCCACCTGATGTGAAGAGCTGACTCATCTGAAAAGACCCTGATGCTGGGAAAGATTGAGGGCAGGAGGAGAAGGGGACAACAGAGGATGAGATGGTTGGATGCCATCACCAACTCAATGGACATGGCTTTGGGTAGACTCCAGTAGTTGGTGATGGACAGGGAGGCCTGGCGTGCTGCAGTTCATGGGGGTCTCAAAGCGTCGGACACAACTGAGCAAATGAACTGAACTGAACTGATAAAGAGACACCCCGTGTTCAGGAAAAACACTTGAGCTTCAAGGGTTGCTCTCTCTGAGGTAACGAATCACCTTGAGCGTCCTTCCAGCTAACCTTAAATCCTCACCCTGCACAACCACTGACTTAACCTAGGGCCCTGGGGATTTCCCAGTGTGTGTCCAGGGCTTAGAACTCTCAGCTCTCACTGCTGAGGGCCCAGGTCCCATCCCTGGCTGGGGAACTAACCTCCTGCAAGCTGCACAGCCTGGACAGAAAAAAAAAAGGTAATGTAGAGCCTAAACAGAACTCCCTCAAATAACGCGATTAAGCTCAACTTCAGCAGCAGAGGAAGTCGGGCCGCCCTCCCACAGGCCCCGTGCAGCTCAGGCCGAGGGCAGGTCAGCAGCCACTTGGGTCAGCGGGGATGGGTCCCAGAGCACAGCCAGGAGGCTTCACAGGGCACCTCAAGATACCACCTCCCTTTCCTCAAGGGGTCCTCAGAACGGCCAGCGCTTGAATTCATGACCCGGGGAGCCCCCCGCTCCAGGCACTAAAATCAGGGCGGCGACAGCTCGGTGCCCTCAGCATGGGGGCAGTACTGGCAGGAAAGGCCAGAGGGCAGCCTTCCCGCTGTCCGCCGAGACCGAACACACGGCGAGGACACTCAGCTGCCGCCACGGGAAGCAGCCCGGGACACAGCCCGCTCCCACCACCCGACAGGCGGACAGCAGATTTCTGTCAGGCTGCCCAGGACGCCCGCCGCCCGCCGCCCTCCCCAGCCCAGGCTCCGTCAGTAGCCCAGGCTTCCTGGTTTTTGGTCTCACTCCCCACAGAGAACCAGCTGGAGAAAGCCGCGCAGGACGTGCTCACGGCCAGCACACTGGCCAATCATGCGGCCCCCAGCCCCCTCAGCCCCCAGCCCCCCGCTGGGAAGCACCCCCACGCCTCTGCTGCCCTCACCCCTGCCCAGCCCGGTGTGCTGGGGGCAGCCCCGCGGCGGCTCGGAAGACAGCACTGCGCTCATTGCGTGGGGCCCGGTTCTCGTCCGTGGTCCCTGTGGGTAATGGGGGGAGAAGTCGAAGCACAGGGCAAAGATGCTCGGCAACCAGTCATCAGGCCGTCTTCCTGGCGTTTCCAAGGCACGTTCTCCTGGGCGCGTCCGCCTCTAGGGACACCCTCCTTTCCACGCTCATCACGCCTTCCCTGTTACTCAGCACTTTACTGCCACTTCTGACAGCCACATGTTTGTCACAACATAGAACACCCTGATGGTCCTGCTGCTCTCTCCAGGCTTCATGTCCCTGGCCTTCCGGGGGGCAGATGAGGCGCCATCAGCTCCAGCACTGACTCGGCGCATCGCGGGAGAAGCAGCTGGGATCCTGCCAAGCTGCCCTCAAGGAAGGAGAGCCCCTGCCCCCTCCGCATCTCCCCCGTGCTGCCGTCACAGCGGCTGCTGAGTCTCCCATGCCTCACCGACCTCCCTGCAGCAGCCAGAACACTCCCCCCAACCCCCCGTCCCCCCAGCGGATGGAATGTCCCGTAAAGTTCCAAGTGAGCTAGTGAATGGGTGAAGTGTGCTGTACCCGAGGACAGGGTACTATGCAGTGAGAAAACTCCACAGGCAGATGCAAGGATACTCCTCGGTGGAGCGGAACACCCTGAGGAGCGAGGCAAGGACGGAAACACAAGGACCGAGCTCCGGGTGAGCAAGAACTCGCGGAGGGGGAGAGGGAGCCCAAGCTGCGGCCACTGAGGAGCTGGGAGTGGCAGGGACTCCCTGGGACGGCGGGAACACAGCCCCTTCGGATGGGAGCACGGGTCAGGGCGGAGGCATCTGTCGGAATCCACTGACCTGCACAGCTAACATCTGCGTGACTGCCCTAAATTACACCTTCATCAGGAACAAAAGTGCGTCAGTAAACAAGGCGATGCGGCGGCTACCAGGATAAACCTAAACCACCAGCTACTGCCTCCCTGCACCCCGATGGGCGTGCCAGGACAGAGCTGGCCTAAATTACTCCTTTCAAACACTCCAAAGCCTAAGCAACTGTTAATTTGTGTTACGCTCAACCCAGGAAGATGTTGGCAGACTTACAACTACAGAAGGGAGCAGCCCTTGGACAGTGCCCTATCCCTGAGGCTGTGTCAGAGGGTGGGGTCAGGGTGACCCCAGAAAGTGGCCTGTGAGGGTCCCCTCCTCAGACATCTGTGTTTGGGACCAAGTCTGAACAGAGGACGGTCCTGAGGGACCCTGACAGATGCCGGGGCAGAGGAGGGGACGCAGACCCCCAGCCTGCCTAGCGGAGCCCCTGCTCAGCCCAGACTGTGGTCGGAGGGCGCTGAACTCCTAACACAGGGGCACACTAGGCCCCAGCCTCCCAGGCTGTCCTAACTGCAGAGCCTGACTCACCAATGAGTGCTGAGCAAAAAAATGTGGGGCATTACCCACCTCTGCAATCGGTGGGAAGGTCTTGCCAAGGAGCTGGTTAAGCCCCGAGGCCCCAGTCCTCATGTGCCACCCACCCAAAACCCCCAACCTCCCCGGGCAGCCACCTGCCAGAGGCACCCCCATCCCCACTCTACAGCACGGCCCTCAGGCCTCCTCCGGACCAGCGCTCCACCAGAGGAAAACGAGAGGGAGGGACAGGCCTCGAGTTCTGGGTGGCGGTGGGCCAGGGAGTGCCGCGCCCACCCACTGGGGCACCCTGCCAGGCACAGCCAGGTCCCCGTGCCTGAGCAGCTCACACGGTGGCCCCCCGCCGAGAGCCGGTGGGAGATGCAGACCGCTGACTCAGGAGGTAGGGCCAGGAAGAGACGGTCACCACGGCCCTCAGCCCTGGGCAGGCACTCACCCGCGTGAGCCTCAGGTATTTACGGCAAATCAACATCAACAGTCCCAGTGCTGTCTCACTATCAGACTGGCTTTGAAATACTCACCAAAGATGCAGCAGGCGAAATAAAGTCTTAAGACTGCTGCCTCTGAGCTGGTGTGGTAGGGTCACCCTCCACTACTGCCTCTCTGGAGTTTCCATAAGCTAGCACTAAGAAGTCGATTGCAAGTATCTTTTTTTGAGGGGGGGCAGCATCAGGGGACCTGTGGGATCTTAGTTCCCCACCAGGGCTCGAAACCCGGGCCCCTGGCAGTGAAAGCACGGAGTCTTAACCACCTGACTGCCAGGGAACTCCCTCAAGTAACTTTCGTTACTTGGAATAAAATACACAAGCTTTCTCTGCCTCGGAATATGTTCTAATAGCAAGCTTGAGGGAAACGTCCAGCCTTTTCCCAAGATAAAAGCTGCCGTCTTCTCTCTGTCTCAAAAGAAAATTATAACTTTTTTTCATTCTGAATTTCATTTTTAATTATAAAACATGGTGGAACTTGAAAATAAAGAGCAATTGTATGTAGGAAGGTCATACAATATTTAACTTTGTAAGAGGACAGTATCTTTCCTGGCTCTTTTCAACAGAATGGTTAACTCTGTGAGGTTGTCCTGTGCCAGCCACACAGGGCCCCCAAAGAGGAATCAGGGTGAGTTTCCAACAGAGGGAAACCTGCTATTTGGACCACAGCCTCTCCCAGCAGTTACCTGGCGGATGCTCTTCCTGGTCATCCTGCTCTGGGGACAATCAGCTTTTGAAATCGCAGAGCAGCAGGCTTGCCTCTGGAAGCGAGTCTGGTACTTTTCCTAGCCCGGCGACCAAGGCAGGATGGGGCAGCTCAGGCAGCCCAGTGGACACAAGGTCTGGGAGCCCTGCTCCCCCCACGCCCTGCTCCCCTCCCTGACGTCAGTGTCCACTGGACGGGGCAGCTGAGGCCAGGCTGTGGGGAAGCAGACGAGTGTGGCTTCAGGCCACCCAAGGCTGGCATCAACTCCCCTGACCAGTTCTTAGAGAAGCTGGGCCTTCTGCTGTGCAGGGGAGGGAAACCATCGCAAAACATCCTCAGGGTTCCTTTCCAAAGCAATTAAAGCTGAGACACAAAGGAAAGGAACTCAAACTGAACACTCACAGGCACGCAGCCCACTGCAGGGAGGCAGCCCTGACTTCAGGGGTTCCAGAGAAAGGAGCCTCGGCCTGGGCCATTTCTGGAAGGCAGGCCAGTATTGCAAAGCCCGCGTCCTGCTAAAAAGATCTATGATGAAATCTAAGCATTCCGTTGCGAACACCTATCACCCACTGCTGGCTCTACAAGAAATGCAGATTAGGAAGGAAACCTAGAAACGGATGGGTGGGGAGATAAATGGATGAATGGATAGGTGGGTGGAAGAAGAACAGAAGGATGGACAGATGAGTGACAGAGAGGCAGCGGCTTCGGGGCACTGTGTTCAGGGCTACAAACAGGGTCAGGGTCCCTACAGGTCTTCCTGGAGGGTCACTGTGTGAGCTGGGGGGATGAGGGCCTGCACTGACCTCTTCCAAGTCCAAGGCGAGAAGACAGCGTGGGGGATTCCCCGCGGAGAGCCCGACAGACCTACCTCAGGGGTTTCTCCTCCTTAAAAGACTTCCCAGTTAAGTTAAAGCTAAGGGGACGTTCCTGTGGAATGAAACGGAGCGGGACAGCCCAAGTTCAGGCCGCGGCAGCAAGGGAGCCCCAGGAGGCCGGTCACTCGGCGAGAGAACCGGCTGGGGACGGCGGTGTCCACGGCCACGCCCCTTCTCCGACGTGCCTCCTCCGGCCTCCAGGTTCCCCCCCGAGCCCGACGCCTCGGGCACCCCCCGGGTCCCCCTCAGCCTCCCGGGTCTCCCGTCCGGGACAGCACCCCAAGGATCCCTCCAGGCGTTTACGGTCCCCGCCTACGACCGAGTCCGCCGAGGCCCAGCAGCCACACAAAGGACCCGGGAAACGCCGGAACGCTTACCTGGCCGCCAGCGTCCGCGCAGCCCGCGCAACCCGCGCCGCCGCCGAGGGAGGGGCTGCCGGGAGGGGCGGGGCCAGGGGCGGGGCCGCGCAGCACCCACAAAGGGTCGCCTTGGAGCAGGCCGCCCCGCCCGCTGATTGGCCGGGGGCGGGGGCGGGGCCTCAGGTTCAAACCGTGGGCGGGGCCTGGCGCGCGAGTTCCCGCGCGGCCGCGTTGGCCGTTGGGCCCTCGCCCCAGGCCGCCCGGCTCCGGGCGGCTCCCAGGTCTCCGCGCGCGGCCCCAGTGCGCCTGCGCCGTCCTCTCGAGGGGCGGGGCGCGAGAGGATGGAGGGGGTGTCTTCTTTTAAAAGCTAACTTTTTAGTGGGAAGGCCCTGGATAGGATACAAAAGCCTCAGTCCATTCAGTCAAGGAGCGTTTCTCGAGTGCAAGCCGGGGGCTCGGTGGTGACGCAGTGAGAAGCCTTCATTCTCCCGTGTCCCATGACGAGTGCCCAGGGGTAGACGCTGGGGCGCCCACCTCGCGGGTAGCGCAAGCCCGCGTTGGATGGGGGCTCTGCCCACACAGGCCTCGAGGGCTATGGCCGCCTGAGGAGGAAGGAAGGGAATAGAGGGGAGAGCGTCCCGGGCGTGAGTGGATCTGGGTCCAGGTGGGCCGGGTGCAAGGACTGGGGCTTCCTTCCGAGGGAGGCAGGAGACGGCCTCAGGAGACTCGCAACTGGTTATAGGTTGGGGGAATAGAAAGTCCAGTTAGGTCACTGCAGTGACTCCAAAGGTCATAGGTGTGCAGGTCAAACGAGGAAAACTAGGGGAAAGTTTGCGGCACCAAAGATTAAATTCCTTAATATGCAGATTATCCTACAGCTGGAACAGAGATGAACAGACTGACAGAAAGTGGGTTCAGGGCAAAGAAAATAAGATTCCCTTAACCAGAGGATGAGATAGGGCATCACCAGCTCAATGGACATGAGTTTGAGCAAACGCCGGTAGATAGTGAAGGACAGGGAAGACTAGCCTGCTAAGAGTCAGAAAATACTGAGCGACTGAACCACAGCCTGATGGAAAACGCTCAGCCTCAGAAGGAAAGCAATGCAAATTAAATCTACACTCGCTTGATGCCAATTTATACTCTCAGATTGACAAAGATCCAGAATGCTGTAAGGAAGGTGATATCTTCCAGAGACTTCAGTCTTACTCAAGCAAAATGTCCAGCATAAAATAAAAAATTAACAGGTATACCAGGACACAAGACCAAAAATGGCAAAAAAAAAAAAATAATAACCCAAAACAACAGATAATAAAAATAGACTTGTGGGTGAACCCAGGAATTGCTCTTATGGAGCTATTTAAAAACAGCAATTGTTGTAGTCCAGAAAATTAAGGAGAACTGGAATCTATGGAAAACACTCAAATGCGAGAAATAATACCAGTCGTACACAAGACAATGAGGAAGGAACTCTTTTCAACATGTTCAAAGGATGGGGGCTTCCCTAGTGGTCCAGTAGTTAAGACTCCTGTCTTCCACAGTAGGGGGTGACAGTTCAGTTCCTAGTGGGAAAACTAAGATCCCATCCTCACTCTGACGTGCATTGCAAGCTTATGAGTCACCAAGAATATGGAATACCCCTGTAAGTTAATGATTATTCAAGAAAGCAGGTTTGCTTAACCACAAAACCAAGAAAACTTGCTTAACAAAGATGAGACGGGAATCCAAGTTCTTGTTCATGGAGCCAAAGAATGGAATCCACGAACATGAAACATTCACTGTAGCAAACGAATAGGATTTATTAAAGAGGAGGAAAGTACAAAGCTCTCAGCGTAGACACTGAGAAATCTATATGCAGGTGAAAAAGTAACAGAACCGGATATGGAAAAACAGACTGGTTCCAAATTGGGAAAGGAGTACGTCAAGGCTGTATATTGTCATCCTGCTTATTTAACTTATATGCAGAGTACATCATGAGAAACACTGTGCTGGATGAAGCACAAGGTGGAATCAAGATTGCCGGAAGAAATATCAATAACCTCAGATATGCAGATGACATCACCCTTATGGCAGAAAGCGAAGAAGAACTGAAGAGCCTCTTAATGAAAGTAAAAGAGGAGAGTGGAAAAGTTGGCTTAAAGCTCAACATTCAGAAAACTAAGTCATGGCATCTGGTCCCATTACTTCATGGCAAGTAGATGGTGAAACAATGGAAACAGTGGCAGACTTTATTTTCTTGGGCTCCAAAATCACTGCAGATGGTACTGCAGCCATGAAATTAAAAGATGCTTGCTCCTTGGAAGAAAAGTTGTGAACAACCTAGACAGCATATTAAAAAGCAGAGACATTACTTTGCCAACAAAGGTCCATCTAGTCAAGGCTATGGTTTTTCCAGTAGTCATGTATGGATGTGAGAGCTTTACCATAAAGAAAGCTGAGCACCGAAGAATTGGTGCTTTTGAACTGTGGTGTTGGAGAAGACTCTTGAAAGTCCCTTGGATTGCAAGGAGATCCAACCAGTCCATCCTAAATGAAATCAGTCCTGAATATTCGTTAGAAGGATGGATGCTGAAGCTGAAACTCCAATCCTTTGGGCACCTGATGAGAAGAACTGACTCATTTGAAAAGACCCTGATGCTGGGAAAAATTGAAGGCAGGACGAGAAGGGGACCACAGAGGATGAGATGGTTCGATGACATCACCGATTTGATGGACACGAGTTTGAGCGAGCTCTGGGAGTTGGTGATGGACAGGGAGGACTGGCATGCTGCAGTCCATGGAGTTGCAAAGAGTCAGACACGACTGAGTGACTGAACTGAAACTGAACTGAGGGACTGAACAACAAAAGCCTGATTAGTTTAATATTTTACCAGGTGACAAACCCTTTGAGCTTTTCAAAGACCTCCTGGAAGAGCCTGGAGTTAGTTCAAGGTGAGAAAGCCTTCATTTAGAACCCAGCTTTTGCAAAGTTTGTCAAAAGGCTTTGGACATTTGCTTAAACTGGATCACAGACTACTAAGAAATGATTATTAATTATCTATTTGACCAAAGTAATGATAAATGATTTCTAAGCCAAATACAAAAAGTTAGGGCTTCCGCAGGAGACCTGGGTTTGCTCTCTGGGTCAGGAAGATCCACTGGAGAAGGGAATGGTTACCCACTCTAGTATTCTTACCTAGAGAATTCCATGGACAGAGGAGCCTGGCAAGCTACAGTCCATGGGGTTGAAAAAGAGTTGGACATGGCTGAGCAACTAACACACTCAAACAGACACAGGGCTTCCCATATGGCTCAGGGGTAAAGAATCCATGTGTCAATGCAGAAGATGCAGGAGATATGGATTTGATCTCTGGGCCTGGAAAGTCCCCTGGAGCAGGAAATGTCAACCCAATCTAGTATTCTTACCTGAAAAAATTCCATGGACAGAGGAGCCTGGTGGGCTACATTCCATGGGGTCACACAGGGTTGGACACAACTGAGTGAGTGAGTGACATGGTTATAAGAAAAATGTATCTCTTTTAATACCAAGATGATTTCATTTTCTTAAGTAATCAAAGATCTGATCAAGACAACCTGAAGCACAGGAAATAATTTGGGTAAAGCACAATTTTGGTTTTCTAAGCAAATGATTAAAAGGTAAGGAAAAACCTTTCACACTTTCTTATGAGAAGTAGACAACAATTCAAGAAAACCTAGCCCCTTTAGCATATGAAACTTGTTTTAGTTTTACATAAGTTTTACTGATTTGAAAGCTCATTTTAAAAACCCTTGTAATAGCAACTCAATTTTAGACATCTTGACCACATATAAAGTTACTTTTTTTCCAAATATTCCTTTCCTACAAACTTGGAGCAGCAGCTATGCGGTGCTGGGGCAACTTTGAGGAGATATCCCATGTCCAGTGGCAAAGGAGAAGCCCCAGCAAGATGGTAGGAGGGGCAAACTCGCGTTTAGGATGGAACCGCATTCGCAACAGAGACGCTCAGAGAGCTCAAACAAACCTTGTGCACACCAGGGCCCAGTAGAAAGGGGAAGTAACACCACAAGAGACTGACCCAGACTTGCCTGGCATTGTCCAGGAGTCTCCAGCAAGGCGGAGTCGGCGGTGGCCTGCTGCAGGGTTGGGGGCACTGGCTGTAGCAGTGCCTGCATGGGACCTTTGGAAGGAGGTCCCGGTGACTCAGACAGTAAAGCGTCTGCCTACAATGTGGCAGTCGCAGGTTCAATCCCTGGGTCAGGAAGATCTCCTGGAGAAGGAAATGGCCACCCACTTCAGTGTTCTTGCCTGGAAAATCTCATGGACGGAGGAGCCTGGTAGGCTTACAGTCCATGGGGTCGCCAAGAGTTGGATTGACTGAGCGACTTCACTTTCACGTTCACCATTATCTTCATTACCTCCACCATAGTTTGGCGCCAGGTAAATAACAGGAAGGGAACACAGCTCCACCCATCAACAGAAAATTGGATGAAAGATTTACTGATTTACTGATGGCCCCGCACATCAGAACAAGACCAAACTACCCCTCAGTCAGTCTCTCCCATCAGGAAGCTCCCATAAGCCTCTTATCCTTATCCATCAGAGGGTGGACAGACTGAAAACCACAATCACAGAAAACTAACCAATCTGATCACATGGACCACAGCCTTGTCTAATTCAATGAAACTATGAGCCATGCCATGTAGGGCCACCCAAGATGAATGGGTCATGGTGGAGAGTTCTGACAAAACGTGGTCCACTGGAGGAGGGAATGGCAAACCACTTCAGTATTCTTGCCTTGAGAGCCCCATGAACAGTATGGAAAGGCAGAAAGATAGGACACTGAGAGAGGAGCTCCCCAGGTCGGTAATGCCCAGTGTGCTGCTGGAGGTCAGTGGAGAAAAACTCCAGAGAGAGTGAGGAGACGGAGCAGAGCAACAACAAGGCCCAGCTGAGGACGTGACGGCGACGGAAGCGAGGCCGAGGCTGTGAAGAGCAGCATCGACAGGAACAAGGTCCAT